ATTTTATCTTCTTCCTAAAAGCAACTAAAAGCTTTTCCAATTCAATAATTTATTAGGTTTATTGCATTTTTTTATTTTACGATCCAAAGCAGATTTTCGATAACAGGAAATTGATGATTGAAATTCTCCAAGGTCTCCCGCTTTTTACTAATATAAATATATTACTGAAATAGATAATACATAGATTTACATTCGGACTATTGTCCTCACCTTGGTTGTTGTCGCCACAACATTTCGGCCGTTGTGCACTCCGGCCATCATCAGGGAAATCTGGACTGAGCTCTTTATTTAATCTACGGGGTTAGATGTTATCATTCCACTGTTCATGTCTAGTTGTTCTTATTTTTTAGTACTTCTCAGCTATTACTCGCCAGTTTTGACTGGGTCTAAGTACACACACTTCCCAGAACATGGATTGAACTCATAATTAAGAAGTTCATGAACCAACGCACGCTTTAATCCACTTAACCTGGCGCTCTGTGGTGAACTGTGTAGAACTTGGAGCCATAAACCTAACCTGCCTGTTGATTAGAGCAGACTTTCTGATAGTCTTTATTTATTAACGACTCCAATATTTCTGTGCTAGGCCTAATAAAGAGGTCCCCATAGCCTACCATAGACGTTGATTCTTTCAGATGTATTGTTGTGGTGTCCTCCCTCTAAAGAGTTTATGTTGGACTTTTTCGCCTACTCTAAGATTAGTAGGAGAGAAAGCCTCGGGGAAACAGTCGAATAGATTGAACTCTGGGTCAACCGACACACTCACTAGTCGTGTAATACTCTGCTGTTGTACTTACTGTTTAATATATGATATATCTGCAACACTTGTTTTGTTATTTCTTTAACCATTTACTTGGTCAAAACATGTATAATTCTCCAGTATTCTTCCTTGTCTAGTATTTTAATGTCACTTTACGGGGATAGTGACTACTCTTTTCCATCCATACATAGCCAGCCATCAATCAATTGCGAAGCTCATATTGAAAGGATTCTCTTTAATAATTGTTTGTGTGAATGTTCGACCTTGTTTCAGTCTGATAGAAAGGTTGCATGGCTTGATCCATTGATAAGTTGACTGTACAAGTTTGACTCGCCTAGATTTGGTTTTCTTATTTGTCGCGTTTCGCAACACAGGAGCAAGCTTCAGTGTTTCTGTTGCATCGACAACTGCAGTTTTGTCGCCAGTTGAAAAACAAGCGTAATTGCCTGAGATTTCAAGTCTACCCCCTCGTCTTTCCGGGCAGTGCAACCGGCTGGACAATTCGTTGTTTGCTCAGATCCAGTTTTCAAAAGCACTTTTCCACTTGGCCACCAAAAGGCCCAGGGCGCCGATCTGCAAATGGCGCCGTTTAGAGTAGATAAGAACAGGCAAATATGTTGCTTATTCCTCTCTTGCAATTTCTCAAATGACGGCGTAGAGGCCCAAGACATCCAGTTATTATAGACGGGGCAAAGATATTATTTCTTCGAGATGAGTCTAGAATGAAATTTACGAAACTATTCTGCTGACTTTGGTCTTCAAAATTTTTGACTGCAATGGTAATCGTTATCTACTCATAATAATCATGATTCCTCATCTTTTTTGTTGTGGCTTTTTAATAAATCTTTTTATAGAGTGAGAGAAAGAGAGGGGGAGAGAGAACGTCTGCTTTGAAATTGTAAGCACTTCATTTCACAGTCAGTAACACCTTGCGTCTTAGTGGCTTTATTGCTTGGGGGTGGCATATACAATATTTACATTATTCGGAGTGTTGTCCTCATCTTTATTGTCATTTTCACTACGTTTCGGCTGTTGTACGCTCCTGCCTTCTTCAGGTGATATACGTTGGAATTTTGAACTGAATCTTTTACATCGTTCACCGAGGGAGACTGTTCTAGTTCCACGTGCCATGCCTTATTCGGCTATCTCAGCTACCGTTAATTCTCTTTAGTAACTCAACTCTCCAAGTTTTTTGTTCACTTCTGCTGCGGTCAGGTATTGAACTCACAACTCTTTGGGTCAAGTCACTGGATTACTTCAACCAAAGCTTTTATTCACTTGGCCATGAAGAAGGCCGGTGTGTACAGTGGCCGAAACCTCATGAATATGACAACAAAGATGATGACAACAGTTCGAACAGTGTAAATAGTGTAAATAGTTACAATACCTCATCTCAGAAATATAGACAAATTCTGAAGTAGGTCGGAGCGTACAACGACTGAAACGTCGTGAATATGACAATAAAGATGAGGACAACAGTCTGAACAATGTAAATAGTGTAAATAGTTACAATACCTCATCTCAGAAATATAGACAGATAATAGGGTGACATTATTTACGATGATATGTAATAAACATATCAACTGGATTTGTAAAAGAAATTGACAGCATGGGTCAGTAGTAAATCTTTGGCCTGAAGTTTGGGATAAGCTGTTATCAGTCGCTCCTTATTTGGTACTTATCAAGTCGGGACATGGAACGTCCAGACACTGAACAACTGAGGTCAGTTTGATAATATGAAACAAGAGATGAACAGGCTTAACATCAACCTTGTAGGAGTATGTGAAACCAGATTGCCAAACAGTGACTTTGTCAGCGACAAACACAGAATAATTTATGTAGGCAGTGAGAAGAACGACAGAGGAGTAGGACTAATACTAGATAGCGAACTTAGGAAATGCATTCTAGGATACCACCAACTTTCCGAAAGAATTCTGGTAGTTAATATAGCAGTGTACGCACCGATGGCACAAAGCAAGGAAGAGGACATTGGATGAAAATCACAGGAAGTCATCATTATCATGGGATACCTAAATGCCAAAGTAGGCAGGGAAAGGAGATAGAAGGAAGATTCGGATAAGGAACCCGCAACGAACGCGGAGAAAGAAATGGATCCAATGGTGCACAGCCAATGACCGGGTAATAGCCAACACATGGTTCCAAGATCATTCGAAATGACTATGGGCATGGAGGAGCCCAGGAGGAGAAACTAAAAACCAACAGATTTAGGAATGCAATGATTCACTGCAAAACCTACCCAAGTGCCGACTGCAGAAGCGATAATCGCCCTCTTATATGTAAACTAAGAGTGAGACTGCGGAAATTGAAGACGCCTAACGCAGCACCCAAACTGCAATAAAACAAACTCATGAGTGACCCTAACCTAAAAGAAAAATACATAGACAATGTGAAAATAAGATACGAAGATCACAATGGCAACTCGAAATGGGACGCACTAAGAGACGCTTTAGTGACATCAGCAGACGACATCATACGGAACGGAATACAGAAAATTATACAATGAAATAAGGACCAAATGCAGGAAAGCTAAAGAAGAATGGCTAAACGAAAAATGTGCAGAAATAGAAAGATTGAGTACTACCAACAAAAGAGACATGCACAAACAAATAAGATGAACTAACATGATAGAAGACGTGTTCGTCAACAGGCTCAATAAAATCAAAGGATGGAACACTCATATTAGAGAAGGAAAAGTGCGTTGGAGAACTCTTCCATGGCGTAAGGGAACAACCAGAAATACACAGAACTACCAACGGGCCTGGAATTCTGAAAATCGAACTAAAAGACCAAATTGAACAGAAACAAGGCAGCTGGACCAGACGGAATTGTAGTGGAAATGCTGACAGCCTTAGATGACTTTAGCATAGACATGATCACTGAAATAATTAATGAAATATACAACAGCGGGGATATACAAAAAAAAAAACTCAGCAGATCTATCTTCGTAGCTATGTCTAAGAAAACAGGCGCAAACGAATGGGAACTTCCACGAACAATAAGCCTAATGAGCCACGTAACAAACCTCATCATCCGTATTCTGATGAACAGAGCGCGCAGCAGAATCAGCCCAGAGGTAGGACAAGAACAGTGCGGGTTCGTTAAAGACACTTGAACAAGGAATGCAATATTTATGCTCAGAATGTTCTCAGAAAGAGTGATACAGATGCAGAAGGATGTGTACCTATGTTTCTTAGACTACGCAAAGGCCTTCGACAAAGTACGCCACAAGAATCTGATGAAACTGCTCAGCAACCTCGATATCTCCGGGAAAGATATCAGAATAATCAAGAACCTTAACTGGCAGCAAACATGTGCATAGGGAACGAGTTCAGTGAATAATCAAAAATAAAAAGGGGTGTAAGGCAAGGATGCACCTTCTCACCTGACTTGTTCAACCTATACAGCGAGGCAATTCTTAGAGAATTGGAAACCCTACCGGGATTTAGCATTGAAGGCCACAATCTTAACAACATAAGATACGCAGATGACACAGTACTGATAGCAGACACGGAAATGAAATTACAAAATCTCCTACAGAAGGTAGCGACGTAGAGTGAGAAGAAGGGACTAAGCATAAACTCCAAGAAGACGGAGTGTATGGTCGTCAGTAAGAGGGTGAGCGATCTGAAGGTCGGGAACACTAGAATCAAGCAGATGTGGACGTTTAAATATCTGGGAAGCGTTTTGACAGAGGACGATAAGTGCGACACTGAGATCTGTAGGTGTATTGGAATAGCTAAGGACACATTCCAAAAGTTGGACAGAGAACTACGAGACAGGAAGATATCTTTAGTAACAAAGAAAAGAATACTAAACTGTTACGTGACATCTGTCCTTCTTTACGGCAGCGAATGTTGGACGATTTCCTCAAAGATGAAGAAGAGACTCAAGGCGACCGAGATGGATGCTAAGGATATCATGGATCGAGCGTGTGAGCAATGATGAGATCTTAGAGAGGTTGCAAACAAAGAGGAGGCTTATATTTATTATCAGAAAGAGGTAGCTGAAGTTTCTGGGACAAATAATGAGGAAGGAGTGCCTGGAGAATCTGATACTCACGGGTCGAATAGAGGGAAAGAGAGAAAAGGGAAGACAACGTGTGACATACCTGTTGGGGTTAAGCAAATGGATGACAGAACATGGTCTGGGGGAGGAAAGCAGAGGGAAGGAACTTGCTGAGAGTTGCAAGGGATAGAAGGATGTGGAGAGCCATGATCGCCTACGCCCTGAAAAAACATGTCACATAAAAAGAAAGAAGAAAGTAGTAGTAGTAGTAGATAATATTCAACATTGGCAAGATGAATAGAGAGAGAGAGAGAGAGAGAGAGAGAGAGAGAGAGAGAGGGGGAGCAAAGAGAAATGTAGAGAGAGAGAGAGAGAGTGGTAGAGAGAAGCAGTGAATGAAGGATAGAGAAGCAGAGAGAGGATGAGAGAGAAATATACCGAGAAGCAGACAGAAGTAAGAGAAGCATAACGAGGGAGAGCAGAGGAGGGAGAAGAAGAGAGTGGAAGAGTAAAAGAAGCAGAGATTAATGGAGAGAGGAGTGAGAGGAGAGAGAGAGGGGAGAAATATAAGCAGAGGAAAGTAGGGAGGGAGAAGTATGGAGAAATATAGAGAGGGAATCGAAATAGAGAGAAGCATAGAGTGGAAAAGGAAGAAGGAAATAATAAAAGTAAACAGAGAGAGAGAGAGAGAGAGAGAGAGAGAGAGAGAGAGAGAGAGAGAAGCTGTCCTGTCAAATATAACCAGTCTCAAAACTTCTCCCATCAATAAAAGTGGAACGATATTGCATGTCTGGGAACATGGATATTGTAAGTCTGGGAACATGGATATTTATCTACTTATAAATATTAATATTTTGGAGTGTATTTAGATGCTTATACTATTTATAATATTTTGTAATATTTTATAATATAAATATAATAATAAATATAATGTTTAATATATATTCAAAGTTAAAATAAAAATAAATAAAAAATAAAATAAAGAAATAAAAAGTAAATAAATAAAATATATATTAATATATATTCAAAAATATATATTTAATATATCTATTTATATTTAAATATAATATTTATGAATATAATATTTTTATTAATTGGTGTATATTTAGGTGTTTATAATATTCATAATGTTTTATAAGATGAACATGATATTTATGTTTAATATATATTAAATGTTAAAATAAAAATAAATAAAAAATTATTATTAATATATATTATATATATATATATATATATATATATATATATATTTAATATATATGTATATATTTATCGTTAATATTTATATTTAAATATATTTATAGATATAATATTTTATAATATTTATAATATTTTATATTAATAGGTGTATATTTAGCTGCTTATAAGTGTATTATAAATTATTATTATTATTATTATTATTATTATTATTATTATTTAGGTATATTATAAAACTACTGATAACGGAACGATTAATATATCAGTTTCAAAAATAATAAACAACTGTAGTTGTTTTTCGATTTAAGTGTATTTCAATGTAGCTGTATTGCAAATCTGTAAGCATGTATATTTATCTGCTTATAAAATCAATGATAACTAAACGATTAATATATCAGTTTCAGAAATAATGAACAACTGCAGGCGTATTTCAGCGCGTAGGGTCTTGAAATTAATATTTTCTGTCTAATTTGTTGAAATTTACTGATAAAATATATATTTAAAATCCGAAAAACAAAAGATCGGCTTTATTTTCATTTAAATGCTTGTAAAACCGACAAAAAAACCCCCAAAAAACAAAAAAAAACAAAAAAGAAAAAACTCATGAAGTAAGTTTAGTCCATGTGTTGCTAGGGATGCAAACGGAAGTGACATCTGTAGTGCCTTGTCGGTGATACTTGTTAACAGTTGTAAAGGAAAATGTCTCTTCCTAACATTTGCCAGTTATAAGGTTAATATTGTGAAAATTCGTCAATCCGTCACAGCACAAATTCTCCCCCGCCTTTTCTCTTGCTGCAATGAATATGTCCGCCATCTGCCGAATTATCAGCGTCTGTTCCGCTGAAAGTTCAACGCTACCAAACACTTATCTGCGTGACACATTACATTTGGCAAGCGATTTCCATGTACACGGAAAGTGCACGTCAATGTCTGACTTGGCACATTGGCCCGTTCGTGTTCCTCACAAGATTTGAACTTATTGCTTTTTTTGGATCTGAATTCCTCTCCCTGTAACTGCTTTAGATTTTGATTCCGTTTTTTTTAGATTCATTCTTTCTTTTCTTTTTTTTTGGGGGGCTATATTATTTGTCGGATTTTTTCTTGCTAGGGTAACCTAGGGGTCAGGGTGATAGACCGAGAGAAAGATAGACAACAAACAGAATAAGATTTGCACACACGCGCATTCGCAATATTCTAGGGATAGGCATGTGTATACGTTGTAATTTCAGGTTTTATCCCTAAGATTTATCTTATAAAATTTTACGCCCACTTTGTCTCTGTCTTTGAATCTCTATCCCGTCTCTCTCTCTAAATCTATCTATCTATCTATCTATCTATGTGTGTGCGTGTGTATAAAATTTCAGTTGGAGCATATCTGTAAAAGGACAATATTGATAGACAAAAGGAAAACTTATATTAGCCAACGTGTTTCGTCCTCTGAGCGACTTTATCAAGGCAAATGTAAGGATTTTATTTTGTGGCAAGTATTTATATACACGTGCAAAAATCTTATTGGCTTTTCAACATTGTTATATTTAAGAAGACCAATAAATATTCAGCGGGTTAGCCGAAAAGTCTAGGCAAGCTATGGAGAATGCCACGTGATACAATTCAATGTCTAATAAACGAAAATGATAAAAGATGTTCTTGTAATGTTTCTTTTTCAAAATGCAAGTTGGTATTTAAATTAATTTATTTTGGGATTAATTTATGTATTACATATATTGAATAACATGAGATCATGGTTTTAATCGATTTCTTTTAAATTTTTAATCTTTTTATAATCATGTATCTTGGCTTGGGAAAGTAGTAATTTTTTCAGGAAAGGAGATATTGGGAAGAATCCCACAGATTTATATTTTGATAAGATTCGATAGCGGAACTCTCGAGAGTTTTTTTACGAAATAAATTACTTTCTTTTTTTAATAAATTTGAAATTATTTAGATCAAATTCGTGGTTGAATTTATTTTTATGTATGAATAATTGTTGTAGAGTAGTTTTCACAGTGGAGGCTCGTATTTCACTAAGTCGGTCCTAAAAGGGTCCGACGTACAAAATGTTAGGAACTTGAAATAATAGTTAATGACGCAGCAATCTAGTTGTGGTGGTTGATACTTTAATGTCCGACATCGACTGACTCACAAACTCACCGAGCCCCCTGGCGACTGCTACTACTACTATTTATTATATGTGGGAGAGTCTATTACAATAAAATAGGTATGTTCTAGTATAACAATAATGCATATGTTTGTGTATAATATCCTTTTTTGTGTTGATTTAAGAGCACTAAGAATCTGCAGCCCCCAATACTTACCCAAAGAAGAAATATTACATAGATAACACTTTCAAAATCTTCAATATCCTTATTAATTCATCAACAATGCTGAGAGAAAAATATATAATATATAGGACCCAAAAAAAGATAACATTATTATTAACCACAATAAACTAGATAAAAACAGATAAATATTACTATCTAACAACTCTATAACATCCAGAGCAATTTATCCAATGTTAACAATATCAAAATAATTACAACCACATCCAAAACTATTACGGATATAATCAGAAACAAAAATATCCATAACAATAGTGATTTTGAAGCAGATATACATAAAATAAATTCCAGAATTGATCCTCACACTACATTGGGGAAACTTGCAGTAATTAAAAACAACGGTGCTGTAGTGTATTTTGGTATCTCTGTCTATAAAAGGCAGGATGTGTGTGTGTGTGTGTGTGTGTGTGTGTGTGTGTGTGTGTGTAACGAATGCACGTCTGCAATTTTCGACGGATTTGCACCAAAATTTACATGCACCTGCTCCATGTTAGTGGAAAGGTCAAGACCGACTTTGCATTTCCCAACTCCCATCGATAGTGGAAATAATCGATTTTTCATGATTCTACGGCAGTTTTCATGTAGTTTACGTCCATTTTCTACTGGCCAGATTGAGAGCCTATAGCTGGCTGCCACGAATAGGCAGGAAGATTCTATTGGCCAGCGTGAGAGCCAACAGCTGACTGACACGAATGTTAACTTGCATGCAAAAAAAAAAAAAAATCGATAGCTGTATTCGTCACAAGTGGGAAAAATTTAAATCTGCATGGCACTTTACTCCAATTGGCTCATTCGCTTGCTTAAACTCAACGTTGATTCTGATTCCGCAGAACTGGGTTGGGTGTGAAAAAGTATTTGTTGTTAACATTCTTTTTTCCTTCGGTTTTTCCAGTTACGAGTCCTTTTTTAAAGCTAATCGTTTTGTGTTCATTTTGTTTAGTTCTTTTTTCGTAACAGATTTAATGTTGAGTATAGAGCTTAGAAAAAATTCGCAGTGTGAGATAGGCAAGAAGTAAGGCATGTAGCAACATCAGCACGGCAAAGGGCACTCCTTTAAAGGCAAGGAAGGGCAAAAATATCTTAAGTCAAGTGATAGCGATTGCTCTATGAGTCGTACGATTTTTGAATCAAGCACGGGCAACGCCGGGCCATGCTGCTAGTTATCCACTAAAATTTGTCTGATGTTGATTGTTGTATTTTAATGATTCATGATGTGCTGGTCGATGTGTCGAAAGTACTTGGGAAAAAATATACCAAAATATGAACTTTGGATAATTTATACACAACTTCGAGCACAATAATCAAGACACTGGAAAAATATAATAAATAATTAAACAGACAGACCTTGTCAGTTCTTTTTAATCAAAGACTTTTGGGCGAATATGTGTTACGTAAATACATCTTATTCACACACGCACAGACATGCACACGCACACGCATACATACACACACACATATATATGTGCATGTGTATGTGTGTGAATAAAGACAAATGGAAAACTTATCTTAACCGACGCGTTTCGTCCTCTGATGGAATTTCTCAAGGCAAATATAAGGATTTTATTTTGTAACAAGTATAAATTCTGAAGCAGGTATATATAAAATAAACTGTCACAACTGTTACTCACAATACACTGGGAAAACTCGCAGAAATTTAAAAATGATCTATGAACACAAAAGGGATCTTATACATAACAATTGATCTAATGCATTAGACATATACAGAAGACAGTGACGCTATCGAATCTTATCAAAATAAAAATCTGCGACCCGGAATTTTTCAAATATCTCCATTTCTGAAAGAATTACTTTTTTCCAAAGCCAAACATTCATGACTCTAAAAATGTTTTTAAAATCCTTAAATTCATATTCTCCATTATATAATAAATTGCCTAAAAAAAATCAATAACATCATTTACTCGCTTTCTTTCATTAGACATTACCTGATGAATATTTGTGAGTGTTTTTTAAATTTAAAATTTAAAAAAAAAACTAACAACATGTTTATAAATGTTTGTCGGAAATTAAAATCCTTACATTTGCGTTGAGGACGAAAAGCGTCAGCTAAGATAAGTTTGTCTTTATTTGGTTTGTCTTTATGTCATATTGCCGTGAAATTTTACACACACACACGCAAAAACACACATACACACACATAAATATAAATATAAAAGTGAACATTGAAGTCAACACTCAGAAGCGACAGACTGTTTCATGCTAAAAGCAATAATCAGGACTGACGATTGCGTTTAGCATGAAACAACCTGCCGCCTCTGAATGTTGGCTT